TGGTGGATGGGTGGATGGATGGGTGGATGGTGGATGGTGGATGGGTGGATGGATGGATGGACAGATGGACAGATGGATGGTGGATGGTGGATGGATGGATGGACAGATGGACAGATGGATGGTGGATGGTGGATGGGTGGATGGATGGGTGGATGGTGGATGGTGGATGGGTGGATTGGTGGGTGGGTGGATGGATGGACAGACGGACAGATGGATGGTGGATGGTGGATGGGTGGACGGGTGGATGGATGGGTGGATGGATGGACAGACGGACAGATGGATGGTGGATGGTGGATGGGTGGATGGGTGGCTTGGTGGGTGGATGGATGGATGGGTGGATGGATGGATGGATGGGTGGATGGATGGACAGATGGACAGATGGATGGTGGATGGATGGATGGATGGTGGATGGGTGGATGTATGGGTGGATGGACAGATGGATGGGAGGATGGATACACTGATGGATGGAGAAATGAGTACATGGATGGGTGGACAGATGCTGGTTGGGTGAATGGATGGGCAAACGGTAGGTGAATGGTGGAAGGACGGCTGACTGCCCGGCTGTTTGCTGCTCGCTGGTTTGATAAATGCGTGCATGGGGGAAAGGTGAACAGACGGGCGGGGCAGACTGATGGACGAATGGGTGGGTGGGCGAGTGGATAGTTGAAGGGACAGTCCATCGTCCATCTCCCATGGCCGTTGCTCTCCTCGGCTGCAGAGCCCACGTAGAGATATGTACTTCCATGCAACCCTGCTGGGCCAGGACACCCATCCTGCTCTCTGCCAGGTTTCCCCCCAACCCTGGGGATCGGGAGTTGGGTAGAGAAGGCCATCGGCACCCTCGGGACTCGCTCGTGGTCAATGGTGGATGTCCACCCTGGCCCAGGAAAGGCTTCCCAGTCCTTCCTGATGCCGCGTCTCTGCTGAGAGTTGCACGTCCGGGTTGAGCTCCTGACGGCAGCTCCGGATTCATTTCTGTGCATTGAAGCCCCGTGGACACGGCGTCCCTGCCCTTCCCGGTCAACGAGGCAAGGTCGAACCCGCAGCAGCTGGGACCAGACGGACCAAAATCATGCTGGTTGGGGCAACGGTGGGGGATCGGCGTTTGCAGAGGGGGATACTGATCCGCGCTCCTTCTCCGTTTGGAGTGTTTGACGTGGAAGGTCACAAAGAGACCACGAATGACCAGCGCCGGGCATCCAGACCTGGACACCCGCACCCGGTTTTCTCGATGACAAAGAGCAGGTGCCAGCCCCTTCCGTCACGGTTTGTCGACTTCTCTCTGAAGCTGTCCTCGGGGAGGAGAACACGGAGGGCGATAACCGTGCGGCGCAGAGGAGGGGGACCCGGAAAAGGGAAGGGGACAGGAGTGACCGTCACCGTGACAAAATGCCCGAGGCAGGTCAACTTCGAGAAGGGAAGATTGACCTGGGCTCACTGTTTCAGAAGCTTGAATCCACGGTGGTTGGTTGGTTGGAGTCTTGGCTTTGGGTCTCCGGGAGGGAGAACAAAATCCCCTTCTAGTCCTCTGCGGGACCCACGGGAAAATCCCAGTGGGGACATCGGGGCGCCCAAGCAGGGGGACCCTTCATGCATTGGAACAAAGCCAACCGCCTGCGCGGGGAGGCTCCCCCTTTGAAGCGGCCGAGGGAGGAACCGAGTCCATCAACAAACACGGGCTGCAGGAAACACCTCACTTCTCTGGGGGGTGGCGGGGTGGCGGGGTGGCGGGTGGCGTGACATACCGCGGCCCAGGGAAGGGGGAAGTGCGGCTGAGTCACCTCTGAAAGGGGCCTCACCTGGGTGCGGAACTTTCTGCAGATTCTCCCCCCCTTCAGAAAGCGCGTGTCCCCTCTGCTTCCTGCTTGTCTCCAAGAGTCCCCCCCCCCCCCTTCTTCCTGGCCCTTCTTGATCTCTGCAATTTGCTTCCAAGAATTGATTTGCAGATGATGCACTTTTTTTTTTTTTTAATTTTTGTTTTTCTTTTTGGCTTGGGTTTGGGGGTGGTGGAAATTTAACCGTCCCCCCAAACAGAGGTCTGACCGTTGCCTTGGGTACGGGGAGGTGACCCCAAGACAAATGCGATTTCACGTCCTCACCTTTGCCATCGGAGGCTGGTTGAAGGTGTGGGTAACGATCCCAAAGATATGGGCCCCCGCGTTGGCTGATATATATATATTTTTTCCTTTTTTGATACCAGGGATGGGACTCAGGGGGCCCTCGATCCCCGAACCCCATCCCCAACCCTATTTTGCATTTTATTTAGAGACAGGGTCTCCCTGAGCTGCTTAGGGCCTCCCTTTGGCTGAGGCTGGCTTTGAACTCACGATCCTCCTGCCTCAGCCTCTGGAACCTTTGGGATGACAGACGTGGGCCACCGTGCCCGGCCCCATGGCTGACCTTAAGATGCATCTTTTCCCTAAAGCGAACCTGCGGCCATAGGCAATGTGATTCCTGATTTCTTTGCAGCTCATGGGTGATCTCGGGGACGCCCCGATCTTCCGCCAGCCGGATTGAGGCGGACGGCTGTGCATATCTGCATAGATGCTTCTAGCCCACCGACCTTGGGTGCCTGTGGGGGCTGATACATGCACGTACAATATGTGCAACTTTGAGTGCCCTGTATGGGGACAATTCTGCAGGACGGGTGCTGGCCGTGCAGTGGCTGAGTCGAAGGTGACCGGTCAGTATTGAAAACGGTAATTCACACGCCAAACGGAGCTCGGACTTCCCGGGAAAAGTGGGACTGATCTGCACACCCACCACCAGGAGACGACAGATTCGTCCTGACGGTGATTCACAGAGTGGTCACTTCTGTGACACCTCTGTGCCCCTCTCCGTCTGTCCTGCTGACGAGGATAGATAGACAGGTGCATCGGAAGCTCTGGGATTGCTGGAGATTATTCTAGCAGCGGGTGAGGTGCAGAGGGTGACTGTCACCTGCAGGGCAAGGTCCACAGGAAACCACGGGTGTCTCTGCTGAGGGCTGAAGGACCCAGTGACCCTCCCAACCAAAAGACCATGGCCACCACCTAGTCCCCTGTGCATCAAGGTAGCATGTGTGCCACCTAGTGGGAGGGAGCCGTTCTGGGGAAAGAGACAGGGACCCAGAGAGAGGGCCCATGGTTAGGGAGACCGAGGCTGCAGGAGTGAAGTGGGTGGATGGGTAGATGGGTGGGTGGGTGGATGGATGGCTGCAGTCTCCCTCTGTGGGGGTTGGGGGAGCCTCTTCCGTGGTCCCTGGATGTCCCTTGTGGAGAAACTGTGACATCCTTCTGATTTCTTAGTTCTGAGTTCTAGACCCTCTTGCGGGGTGGGCGGGGGGGGGGGGAGGCGCTCACCTGATTAGGTCAGGCCCACCGAGGGCAAACCCTCGTCTCACTAGCTAGAGGTCACCTGCTTGGACACCTTCATGGCACACGGTGATATCCCATTTTACTCAGATTTCCCTTGCACAGAGAACCGGAGGGGAGCCCATGAGGTATGCACGTGCCACCTCTAGGTGCCGGCTGGTGACCAGGGAACCCTCCCATCTCACCTGTTAATTTGCTTTGCAAACGCGTCACACAGCTGAGCGCACACGCAGCCTCTAAATTTAGCAGCTCCTCAGAGTCCACCCGCACAGCATGACACAAACACTGGGGACATTGGAAGTCAGGGCCTGACGCCTTTGAACAGGTGGCCAAGGTAGGGTGACGTCACTGGGAATCTTGTGACAGATCTGGGGCAGGGTCACCCCGCGGCTTGCCAAGAATCGGGCAGATGGTCAGAGCTTCCCAGCCTACAGTTCAGTCACTGATCGTCCCCTCAGGGAGACACCACCAAAGAAGTCCTTGACATCAGACATACTAATCAGGAACGGGTGAGTGACATGCGTGAGGGATTGGTCCCATCCGCTAATCCCATTATTGAGTCACAGAATTATGGCAGGGACGTCAGTATCTCAGATACCATGAGCCACCGTGTTCTGGGGTTTTCTTAGAGTAGCCGTGCGGGTTAGGTTGACGTGAGTTTCCGTATTATTTATCTTATATGTCACTAACGACGACAGGATTCTCTTATGCAGTTTTATCACAGGGGACTCACGCGACACCACGTTAACAGGGTACATCAGGAACAATCACACCGTGCATTTTACTCTACTGCAGAAATGGATCCCGGGGAACTCACACACACAGCCGGTTAGTACGTTGCCTATCGTGAACGATCGTGTCACGGTATTTTGTCACGCTATAGAGTTCATCCCAGGGAACTCATGCACCCAGGTATCACGGAATCCTGTTACCCATGGGGTCATACTGGCGGACTGTACCTAGAGCACGTCATCAGCTGCATTTCACTATCATCACTGAGAAGTGCACGAGGACATTCCAGACCGTGGCACTGCCTTGCGTGGGACTTAGGCCTACTCTGTCGCATTGCACGAGCACGTCGCATTTGCTGTGCAGTTTTACTATGTCCCCGAGGACTATGACCTGGGGTTCACATGTCCTAGGTTAGTCTGTCACCCCACTAACCACCGTAGTATTGATCTCCCTGTAGGAGAGAACTGCATGGCATTCATACATATCGTGTTGGCCTGTCACCCATCGGTGACCATGACACTCGGCCCATTACCTGGATTGCATGCAGTGCATTAGCATATGACCTGTCATTCACAATCCTGCTACTTTATTTCCCCGTGGGATTTACAGATACATCGTGGACGTTTTCACACCAAGGATCCATTGCACGGGGGCTGCACAGCTGCATCTGGACCCCTGCGACAGCCCCCGACTCTGGCCCAGCCACAGGTGGCCGCGTGGGGGCGGGGCGGACACGCGCATGCGCAGGGCAGCCTCCGGCGGCCCGGAAGTCCCGCCTCTCAGGGGCGGTGCCAGGGCGCCGAGGCGCAGCCTGGGGCCGCCGCGCGTCCGCTTCCGCGAGTCCCGCTCCGGAAGCGGAAGTGCGTCACAGGGGGCGGGCGGCGGCGGCGGCGGCGGCGGCGGCGGGTCGCGTCAGGGGCGCCTCCGGTGGACGGTGGCGACGCCGGGCGGGGAGGCAGTGCCTGCCCGGGGACCGTCGGGGAACGGCGGGAGCGCGGGCCAGCGGCGGCGGCGGCGGGCCGGGACGCAGGCGGAGCCCCGCGCCGGTGAGTGAGTGGCGCTCTGGCTCCGGCCCGGCCGCCCCAACCGCCGCCCTGGGAGGGCCGGGCCGGCGGCGGGGGCGGGGCCTGGCGGTGGGGGCGGGGCCTGGCGGTGGGGGCGGGGCCTGGCGGCGGGGCGGGGCCTGGACGGGGCAGGTACCTGGTCGCTCCGGGAAGGAGGTGCGGAGCCGCTCCGGGGCCGGGTGGGTGGGCTATGGGGGCCCGCGGGGGCGACTCCGGCGCCGGGAGGGTGGAGGGTGGCCGTGGCCAACGGCGTGCGGGGGTTGGGGGCTCGCGGCCGGGGGCGCCGGGGGGCGGAGGGTGGGGGCTGGGGCTGGCCCCGGTGACGGCGGCGGGGTCTCTCCGGGGCCGCGGGCCGAGCCGCTGCACTGCACGGCGCTGCCAGGGCTGGGGACGTGGGGGCCACGGGGTGCGGAGGTCCGCGGTGTCCGGCTGTACTGGGTCCCCTGCGGGGCTGGGGCCCTGGGAGGGAGGGGCTCTAGGGACCACCGAGGTCGCGGGCGGCTCGACATAAGAGTGGTCGTCGCAGGGAGGCCGCGGGCGGGGTACTGGCAGGTGGCAGAGCTGCCCTGGCTCCGGGTCAGTCGCCTGGTGCCGCCCTGCAGTCCTGCGGGAGGGTCGCAGGCTTCTGTCCAGACACCCGCACAGGCCCTCCTCCTGGCGCAGGTGGTGTCCCCTGCCCTGGGACCCTGCATCTTGGCCGCAGGCGGTGGAGGGCAGGCCGTGTCCGTGCCTCAGGGCCTGGCGGGGAGCTGGCAGGTGAAGGTGGTGGGTGGCCGTCCACCTGCAGCAGTTGCAGCTGACCGGCAGAGCGGGGCAGGGTGGTTGGGAGGCGCCGGCCAGGTTCCAGGCCCCGGTCGGGGCTCGGGAGAGGCCCTGTGGTCTCTGGTGCTGGCCTGCCCACGGTGAGCCCTCAGGGTCGGTGTTCCGGGTTTTTTCCTGTGACTTCTCTGTCATCAAACCACATACAGGGCCACAACAGGGCCACGTCCTTCCCAGTGGCGGGAGCCCCGGGCTCTCTGCCCCTTCCTTCCCCTGGTGTCCTCTGCAGCTTCCTGTGGAATCGGCCTGTCCGGCTTGCCCCTACCTGCTGCGCCCGGGACTGGGGGACTGGTCATGTTCATGCTGGGGAGCTGGGGTGCTGGGGCAGGTGTCCAGTCCTGGAGGCCGTGGGCCCTCGCTTTCCCTGGAGGACCTCTGTCGGCCAGTGTCTTCCGCTTCGGGTCCCACTCTCGGGGACTAAGTCGTTCTCCGCAGAGGAAGGCCCCTGACCAGGGAGGGCCGCGGTCTCTGCTCCCTGGGCTCCAGTTCTGAATTGGGCCCTGGGTCCCCTTGGCCCCGGCCTGGCCCTGACCTGCGCTCTGTGTTTCAGGCCCAAGGTCCCGGCTATGGCCGCGGCTACCATCGTGCACGACACGTCTGAGGCCGTGGAGCTGTGCCCCTCCTACGGCCTGTACCTGAAGCCCATCACCAAGATGACCATCAGCGTGGCCCTGCCGCAGCTGAAGCAGCCGGGCAAGTCCATCTCCAACTGGGAGGTGATGGAGCGGCTCAAGGGCATGGTGCAGCACCACCAGTTCTCGACGCTGCGCATCTCCAAGAGCACCATGGACTTCATCCGCTTCGAGGGCGAGGTGGAGAACCGCAGCCTGGTGCGGTCCTTCCTGGCCTGCCTGGACGGCAAGACCATCAAGCTCAGCGGCTTCTCGGACATCCTCAAGGTGCGCGCCGCCGAGTTCAAGATCGACTTCCCCACGCGCCACGACTGGGACTCCTTCTTCCGCGACGCCAAGGACATGAACGAGACGCTGCCCGGGGAGCGGCCGGACACCATCCACCTGGAGGGGCTGCCCTGCAAGTGGTTCGCGCAGAAGGAGTCGGGCTCGGAGAAGCCCAGCGAGGAGGTGCTGGTGCAGGTGTTCGAGAAGTTCGGGGAGATCCGCAACGTGGACATCCCCATGCTGGACCCCTACCGGGAGGAGATGACCGGCCGGAACTTCCACACCTTCAGCTTCGGGGGCCACCTCAACTTCGAGGCCTACGTGCAGTACCGCGAGTACGTGGGCTTCATCCAGGCCATGAGCGCGCTGCGCGGCATGAAGCTCATGTTCAAGGGCGACGACGGCAAGGCCGTGGCCTGCAGCATCAAGGTGGGCGGCTCCCGCGGTGGCCGGGTGGGCGGGGCTCCCGCGGGTGGCCCCGGGGCCAGGGCCCAGGTCGCTCGGCTGGTCCCCAGGGCCGCAGGTGCCTGCGGAGACCGCCACGGCCCGTGTCCTGCCTCAAGGTGTCCTTCGACTCCACCAAGCACCTGAGCGACGCCTCCATCAAGAAGCGGCAGCTGGAGCGGCAGAAGCTGCAGGAGCTGGAGCGGCAGCGCGAGGCGCAGAAGCGCCGCGAGAAGGAGGCGGAGGAGCGGCAGCGCGCCGAGGAGAGGTACTGCGCGCCGTGCCCCGTGCGTGCGCGTGCCCGAGCGTGCTCGCGTGTCCTGTGCGTGCCTTTGGAGGCCTGCGTGCGCGGCGGCTGTGCGTGGCCCACCGTGTGCGAGCGCCTGCCCCTGCCCGCTTCTGGCCCTTGAGCGCGCTGCCCACGAGGTGGGGCTCTACCGTATCGTCGACCACGATTCCCCTTGTTTCTCAGGTGCACGCGGGCTGTGCGTGGGTGTGCGTGAGTGTGCGATGCTGCACGTGTGCCCAGCGGCCCCAGCGCTGGGTTCCACAGTGGGTCCGTCCTGTGTTTCCCCAGGGGCCTTGCGATGCCCCCGCCCAGCCTTGTGGAGGAGCCCCGTGGGCGGAGGCGACAACACCGGGGGAGGGCGGCCGCAGTGCGCTTGGGCCAGCTGTCTTTGGTGGAGCTGGAGTTGAGTGACAGGTGCTGTGGATCTTACGGTGACCGCGGGGCCTGGCGTCCTGCATCTGGGACAGAGCCTGGAGGCAGGGCAGGGGCTCGGGTGGGCAGCAGTACCACAGGCTCTCCTGTCCTGGGCCCGAGCCAGCGGCTTGTTCTTGGAGGCGGAGGCTGTGGTCCTCCCACTGGCCTCCCCGTGTGGCAGGAGGTCCCAGGTGTTCCAGAAAGCAGCTCTGATGTGTCGTGACCAGATCTGGGCCTCCGTCCCCACACCAGACGGGGGGCCTGGGGAGATGGCCGTGTCACAGCCTTGCAAGACAGACAGCCCGTGTGGGGGGGGGGGTGTCCGTTTAGGGGCCAGAGGGCGAGGGGCGCCCTGTGGAGCCCGACTGGGGAGAGGCAGGCCAGGCCGAGGGGCGAGCTGGCCTGGGGGGTGGCAGAGCACCCCCAGGCCTCTCCTCTGCGAAGAGTGGGGCCCAGGAGGCTCCCACGACTCTCCACGGTGGGAGTCTAGTTCCAGCAAGGGCGTGAGACTTGCTGCTCGCTTGGGGACCAGGCTTGGGACCTTGCAGGCAGCAGCCATCCGCAGGACCTCCAGGGACTGCTGTGACCCTGCCCCCGCCTCAGTCCGGTGGCATTGGGACCTCTGGGTGCCATGGCTCCCTTGGCTGCTCTTGCCCCTGGGTCCCTCCTGGCCTTGTGCTGTGCCCACCCTTTGCTGGGAGCAGGCAGTCTGCTCAGCTCCTGGGGCCCGTCTTGTTGCTCTGCCACCTCTCTGGGCTGTGGGCAGTCAGTGGGTCCCCTCTCTTGGCCCGTGGACGGTGTGCCTGGGCCAGGCGGAGGCGCGGATAAATTGGTCGTCGTTCCTCCCGCGTCCTCTGGGGAGCCTGCGTCCCTCCGTGCACCTGATCCTGCTCTCGGGGCCAGGGTCGTGGTGGTCCTGCCTGCCGTGGCTCTGGGGAGTCGCTGTGGGTGCCAGGGTCTCTCGGGGGTCCCGCAGGACAGCCTGTGGGGAGCCCTCTGCTCCCAGCAGCCCCCTGGGTTCTGCCTTGGCTGGGGCCAGGGGCCTCCTGCAGTGTCCCCATCCCCAGGGCCATGGAGAGCAGGGCTTCGAGGGCTGCCCCAGGGTCTGGCTGACCGGCTGTGGGCTGCTGGGGCCGGTGGCCGCACCGCTAGCCGCTGTTCAGGTGCAGTTTGATGGAGTCTGCCGTGGTCACTGTCACCTTGATGCCAACCGTGGGAGGAGACGGGAGGAGTTCCTCCCCCGGGCTCTCCGGCCCTTCGAGTGGGGTCCAGGCCGTGGTCAGCGTTCCTCTGTCCTGATGACCTTGCTTCTGTTGGGCCTGGTCCCCAGGCTGGCTGTGCACCTGCGGGCCTCTTGCCTTTTCCTCGGGCTGTCACTCGGGCGGTGTCCTGCAGTGTGCGGGGGTCCTGCCCCTCTGTCTCTTGCTCCCGAGCCGCCGGGGCTGCCACCTCTGCCCAAGCCCAGGAGGCAGGAGGCTGCGTCTGGCCAGCGCCAACCTGTGCTCTGGCGGGACGGCTGGGGTGGGCGCGCTCCTGTGGTCTGGGTGGCCACCTGGTGCTGGCCGAGGCCGCCTTGTGCCGCACTTCCCTCGGGCCTGGCCCTGGTTCAGAGGGCGCCGCCGAAGTGCGCGGCCGCCCTGGGGTCCAGGGTGCCCCGGTGGGTGCTCCCTCCCCAGTCCCCCCCCTCCCCGCTCCCCGGGGTCCCTGGTGGGCGGAGTCTCGGGGGTGTCCCCGCCTCGCCCCCTGCTCCGGGTCTGTGCAGCGGCCCCAGCGGCCCCCGCTCCCCGCAGGAAGCAGAAGGCGCTGGAGGAGCTGGAGCGCGAGCGCAAGCGGGAGGAGAAGCTGCGCAGGCGCGAGCAGAAGCAGCGGGAGCGGGAGTCGCGGCGCAGCCAGAGGAAGCTGCAGAAGCTGCAGGCCGAGGAGCAGCGGCAGCTGCACCAGAAGATCCGCCTGGAGGAGCGCAGGCTGCTGCTGGCGCAGCGCAACCTGCAGTCGCTGCGCCTGGTCGCCGAGCTGCTGAGCAGGGCCAAGGTACCGACCTGGGGGCGGGGTCCTCCCCGTCCGGCCGGGAGCGCCCTGCCTGTGGCCGGCGCTGGGAGGGCGCAGGGCCGCGCTGGCCTTGCAGGCTGCTCTGCGCTGGGCTCGGGGTGTGGCCGGCGGACGGCGGGTGGCCGGGCGGAGCGCTGCCCCTCGTGCCCCTCGGGCGGTGCCTCAGTGCCCGCCCGCGGCCCGCCACGTGGGGAGGAGGCCGAGCACCCTGTAGGAGGGGCGCCCGCTGCCGCCAGCGACCCTGGGCGGGACCCGACAGGTGCCATGGCCGGGGCCTGAGCCTTGCTGCCAGAGCTGCCTCGCCCCTGCCGAGGCTCCCGGTGAGTCCGGCCGCGCTGAGCGCACGCAGGCCGAGGTGCGAGCTCCCGGGGGCCGGCGGCGCCCCCTAACCTGTGGTCTGATTGCAGCGGTGTCAGCTCCCCGGGAGGCAGCCTGGCCACAGCGCTGAGACTCGGGCGGCTCGGCCCGTCCACGGTGAATATTGAAGACACTCACCCGGGGCCGGGCCAGCGCCCACCAGGCCGCTCCCGCGGCGGCCACCACGGCAGGCTGGGTGGGGCGTCTGGGGCGCTGGGCGAGGCCCGGCCCGCCGGCCCCGGGGCCACCAGACCGCTTGTCCCCAGGGAGCCGGGAACGCCAGGCGGCCTGCGGCCTCACCTCTGCAGGCCCCGGCCCCGGCCCCGGGTGACGTCCTCTGCTTCCCGGCCAGAGGCTGCCAGGCCGTCCTCCTAGCTCCCCGCTGTGGCCCGCGTGGCCCGCGGTCCCTGAGCTGTGCCCCTCCGCACGCAGGCCGCCAAGCTGCAGGAGGCCGAGCAGCAGGAGGAGCGGCGGCGGCGGCAGCAGCAGGAGGAGCGGCGGCGGCTACAGGAGGCCGAGCTGCGGCGCGTGGAGGAGGAGAAGCAGCGCGCGCTCGGCCTGCAGCGCCGGGAGCGGGAGTTGCGCGGGCGCCTGCTCAGCCTCCTGCTCAGCCGCCAGGCGGACGACGCGCGGCCGCGCGAGGACCTGCTGCAGCCCGTGCTGGACATCCTGCAGACCGTGTCCTCCGGCGGCGTGGGCGCCGCCTCGCTGCACCCGCTCCGGGGCCAGCCGGCCCCCGGGACCCCCAAGGAGACCCCGCCGCGCCCCGAGGCCGACGGCGCCCCCCGGAGCGTGAACGGGAACAGCGCCGAGGAGACCGCGGGCCCAGAGGGCGGCTCGCCCGAGAAGAGGGGCGCCGGCGGGCTCTCCTGCCTCCCCGACCACGCGCAGCCGCCCAGGGGCGCCCCCGCCGGCAGCGAGCAGAGCCTGGCCAAGAGGGAGGCGCGCTCCGAGCAGGACAAGTGCAACCGCCAGCCCAGCCGGGGCCGCGGCCGGGCCAGCCGCGAGGGCAGCGCCGAGGACCGCCGCGCGCGCGAGAGGAGCCGGGCCCGGCGCCCGGGCAGCCGCGAGGACGGGCGGCCGCGCCAGGAGCGGCGCTCCCACAAGAAGCACAAGGACCAGGACCAGGACCAGGACGGCAGCCCGCGGCGCAGCGCCAGCCCGCGGAGGTCGCACAGCCAGGACCAGCGTGGCCGCAGGGAGCGCAGCCGGCAGCGCCGGGGCAGCGCCAGCCGGAAGCGCAGCCGCCACCGCCGCCGCAGCCCGCACTCCCGCCCGCGCTCGCCCAGCAGGCAGCGCAGCGCCTGGAGCAGGTGATGAAGGGCAGCGCCGGGCCAGGGGCCAGGGGCCAGGGGCCAGGGGCCAGGGCCCGCCCGCTCCGCGCTCTCCGCCCGCCCGCCCGCGCGCCCGGCACCGCCACGCTGTCTCCCGCGGCCGCCACCTGTCCACCCGCCGGAAGACGGTGCCGGGTCCCTCTCCAGTCTCCACGGCCCAGCTGGCCAGTCCGGCCGCGTCGGCCCGCGCCACGAGCTTGACTTCTCCTCTGAAACTGCTGACCGATAGCTTTAATGTCGCCTGCCTCGGAATCGGGAGAGGCGCCCAGACCCGCGGAAAGACGGGCCGCCGCACCAGCCTGTCCTGCCTGAGGCCGGGACCCTCCAGACCCCAGCGGGGCGTCCGCCTCCCGCAGGCAGCGAGCAGGGAGGGCCCAGGGGCTGGGTTTCCTCCTGTCCTAACTGACCCATCCGGAATGGCAGCCGGGGATGGCCAGCCACCGAGGTGACGGCCAGGAGCCAGGGTCCCCGGCCCGGGGCGATGCCCCTTGACTTCAGACCCGCCCCGTTTTGTCCCCGGGCGGTGAAGCCCGAGTGGGTTACAGGCTTTGGTTCTAGGAGGGGTCAGCGGTGGTTTTCCTAAGAAGCCGTTTTGCTAAATTATTTTTACCTGGAATGTGCCCGACAGTCACGGCCCCAGCGTCCCGGCCCGACGCTGCGTTTTCTACCGTGTCCTCAGACGGAGACGCGCAGACACTTGGCAGCTGGCCGCCCCTGAGGAGGACGTGTTCACTGCAGTTTGCCTTTTTACGGTGAAATAAACCTTTTCCACGAACTCCGCTGTCGCCCCGTGTGCTGTGGCTGCGGCTCTCGGTGTCCCCGCGGTCCTCCCTCTTTCCCCACTGTCTTTCCGCGTCTCCTGGGCGGCGAGTCCCTCGAGGCCATGAGGTCAGGAGCCTGGCTGGGTCAGTGCGGCTCTGGCCCGCGAGGCTCGGCTGTCCCAGGTGTGCGTGCCCGGTGATGGTCCCTCCTGTGCTCCCGTGAGCCTCGGTCCCCGTCTACCCTGGGAGGCCGGGCAGGAAGGCCTCGCGGACACCCGCCTCTGGAGCTGCGAGCTCCGTGTGGTCCGTCCCTGCGTCCCGGGAATCGAGCTGGGACAGCGGGGAGGACCGGCACCCTGGGGGGCTGTGGACAGCATGGTCAGCCCAGCCTGGTGGACCCGGGTGCAGAGGGCCTTGGCCTTCCCGGGAGCCGCTGGTTCCCAGCCCCAGGCCACTTGGTGCGCGCGGAACCTTGAGTGCCACCCCCCCCCCCTGCTGCTGACCACGCCCACCGAGCCACGCCCACCCGAGCCGAGCCGTGGGCGGGCAGAGCGGAGGCCGAGACCCCCGTGTGAGACTGGATTCACCAGAGACGGGCCCTGACAGATGGCCGCCTGCCCCAGGTGGTCACGGTAGCAGCTGGCACCACGGTGGCCCTGGCTGAAGGGTCTCAGGCCATGAGGGCTGGCCGTGCCCCTGTTCACCCAATCAGAAAGCAGGGCTCACAGACGGCGTCTCTCGTCACCTGGGTCCTCCCCAAGTCCCCTGCCCCTGGCCAGGCCCCCCCGCCTGCTGCTGAGTGTTGGCCTGATGAGTCCTGTGTCCCGGGAAGGGGCTGGTGAGGACGGTCCCCTGCCTCCCTGGGTGTCGGGAGTGAGCACAGGAGGACACAGGGCCAGGGGGCAGCGGGCCGAGGACCCTGGGGCCGGAACCCTGTGTCCCAGCGTCAGAAAGGAGTGAATGTACCTGAAGGCCAAGGTGTGGCCAGGGGAGGTCAGGCACTGACCAGATGACGTGCTCAGACTCCCAGCCTGGCCGGGGGGAGCACTGGGGACACAGGCCCTGGCCTGGGCGCCACGCGGGCACTGAGGGAACTGGGCCTGGGGAGAGGGACACAAGGTGTCACACTGGGTGTGTGTGTGGCCTAGTGGGCACGGGAGTCCAGGGGCGTCGAGAGATGGCCACGGGCACGGTGCTGACCGACCGTCAGTGCCCTGCGTTCCCATTTGGAGGCCCGAGAGTTAAGCGGAGGCAGGGGGTGTCCGGTGTTGGGCGAGGGCTCCTGACATCGCGGCTCAGACGGCGGGACTGTCCTGGTCCCCACAGGCCTCTGCCCTGGGGTGGACAAGCTGGACACAGCGTTTATGTCAGGTGTGGGGACAGAGCTGGGGCAGGGCTGCGGACGGCTCCTCTGGGCCCGGGAGACCGCGGCCAGCCCGGCGTCTGGTTCCAGGTGCACAGGCTCTCTGCCTGCAACAGGGCGCCTTCCCTGGCCTCCGCCGCGTCTTCGTGCTCGGCCGTACCCGGGAGGCAGCGCCCCCGGGAAGAGGCGCCCGCTGGGTCCCTGCTGGAGGCCGGCCATCGGGGCGAAGGGTCGCAAGGGCGGCAGAGAGTGCCCTTGAGGATGGCCTGGGGACCGGGTGCAGGACGGGGACGTCTTGAGACAAGGCACGTGCCCCCAGGCGTCCTCAGGCACCCGGTCCCCTGGGCTCCCCTCGGCTGCAGGCCCAGCTCCCGGGCGGCCCGGGCTGCAGGCTGTTGCCGATGACGTCCCCCAGGGCCCCTGCTTTCCCGTTGGCGCTGAGGCGACTGTCCACAGACAGGCCCCCTCTGTCCCTGCTCTGACCCTCCCGCCTCCGCCCTCACCTCCCGGGCCTCTGCTGGGGCGGGCGCAGCCCCATGGTGGGCACCAGAGCCGTCCCAGTGCCCTGCCCTGCCCTGGCTGAGCCGGGAGACGGCCACCCGGGGGCCAGGACGCCGGCCTCCCCTCCCCTGGGACCTGCCTGGCCCTCAGCCCCCGTCTGGAGGGACCTGGGCGCCAGCTCTGCCTGCAGACCGCAGGACCCAGGCGGCCCCAGCACTGGGCAAGCCGGGCCTCCCTCACCTGGGGGAGGTGACAGGGGTCCCGGACCTCGGTGACCTGGGGACACTTCTGCTTTTAAAGTAGAAGCTGACTATATACGGAGGCGGCCTGTGCCAGGGGACACCTGGGCTCCTCTGTGTGCACTGAGGGGCCTGGTCAGGGGACACCTGGCCCCTCCCTGTACACTGAGGGCCACCTGCACTAGGCAGCGGAGTAGGAGCGCGGGTTCCTGCTGGCCCTGCTGCAGCCTGAGGACAGGTGCCTGTGGAGGGACCGCCCACTGCACACCCGCAGACCCAGGTGCGAGGTGCGTGCGTGGCCTCCAGGGCCCCGGCAGGGAACGGGCAGCTGAAGGGCTGGGGTGTCCTTCTCGGGTCGAGGGCCTCTGCCCTGGACGGAGGTGTCCTTCCTAGGTCCTGAGCCACCCGGGTGTGCACACTGGGAACACCGGTCACAGGTCGGCCTGTTGTCCCCACGGGAGGACAGCGGCGCCCACTGCTCTGAGTTTCCCTGCCCTTCCCCTGGCTCCGGGCTGGCCATCTGGAGGAGGGCGTCCCTTCCCGGGGCCTCCCGGGGCGAGCTGGGTGGACACTGCCGTTCCCCCTCACCCCGTCCTCGGGTCCTCGCTGACCGGGCAGGCAGGGTCGCTCTTGCCCCACCTGCACTTCCTGCTGGCCTGGCGTCCGTAGAGACCGCCGGCTCCGCGGCCCTCAGCCGTGTCCTGGGGCGGCAGAGGTCAGGGGTGCTCGCGGTTCCCGGGGGGACGGCGGCTGCGCAGGAGGAAGGCCGCGGGGTCCCAGGGCTGCTGTGGGCAAACGGGTGGGGAGGGGCTGCAGCTGCCCACCCCGGAGGACAGGGCTGGACCAGGGTCCCCGGCTGAGCCCCCTCCAGGGCTCCGGGGGCTCCTCCTGCCTGTCCAGCTCCTGGGCTCCAGGTGGCCCTGGGCGGGTGGCCCCCCACTGCAGTCTCTGCCTCCGTCTCCACGGGGCTCCTCCTCTGGGTCTGTGTCCCCTCCTCTGTCCCTGGGGAGGACACGGCCATGGTGACAGGGAAGGCCCCCTGTCACCTGATGACCCGTCCCCGGGCCCGTCTCCAGGGTTCCCAGAGGTGTGGGGTGGGGTTTGGTTCCCGGGACCCTCGGCCCAGCCTCGCGCTCCTAGACGTATTAAAGTGACGGGGACGTGTTTGAAGCCACCGGGTCGTGAAGTGGACGCAGCCACGTCCTGCAGTGTGCAGAGTCGTCAGGGACCCTGCGTCGTCCACCGTCACGACGCCCGGTGGGGTGTTCACAAGTGCATCTGACAGGGCGAGGACGAGGACCCCTTGGTCATGGCGGCTCGTCTCCGGCTCCGACCCCCTGCCACCCGCTGCATGCTGCAGGCCCTGGGGACAGTCTGCAGGCCCTGGGGTCCCCGTGCCTGGGCCTGTTGGTCCGGGAGCTGGACCCTGGCCTTGGGCCCGCACTGGGCCTCCGGGGCCACCCACCCGGCCTCACCCCAGGGTCGTCTCAGGGGCCCCGCACACTCCCCGGTCCCCTCCCGGAGGCCTGGCCAGGCCAGCTGCGCCGCCCATCATGAGGGACAGCGGGGACGTTTCTGTCCACGCCTTACGGTGCCTTCGCGTCCTGTGACAGGTGACAGCCACCCCGAGCCCCTTCCCGCGTCCTGTCCTCCTGCTCACGTCGGGCGTTAGAAAACGCAGCCGTCCCTCAGCCACGGGGCTCCAAGCAGCAGGGAGACTGGGGTCCCGCGTCTGTCCCTTGACAGTGGCCTTCAAGGCCCCGGGGATGGACGGCAGCCTGGGAGACAGAGCCGGTGTCACCTGGCGCCAGGGTTTCCAGAGACAGGCGTCCCCTTGTGTCCTTGGGGGATGGCTGCAGGACCCCCTCAGGTTCCCAGCCTCCGAGCCCCGTCCTGGCCTGAGAGGACCCTGTGCACACGCTGCCCCCTTAGAGGACGGCCACGGTCACCGCTCGGTTCCGGGTGACGGAGGGGAATGCGCCCAGGGGCAGCCCTGTTTGTGGGGGTGGGGGAGAAACTCATCCCGGCCCTTTCCTTCACTTGGGTTGAGGCTGGGTCTCGCCAAGTGGCCTCGCTGAGCTGCTGAGGCTGGCCTCCGACTCGGCGGCCTCTTCCCACAGCCTCCCGAGTTGCTGGGTTCAGGTGTCAGCCGACCACGCCCAGCTTCCACCGGGAGCCCCGGGAGCCTCCCTGGAGCCTGTGAGCAGCTCGGCGGGGACCCTGGTCCCGGGGCTGTCGCCCTCTGGGTCCCGGGGCCGTCGCCCTCTGGGGCTGGGCGGGAGACTCTCTGCTGGGCCTCAGCCCCTGGATCCCCAGGGACAACCGGAACCTGCCCTTCCCTTTGGAAGGGGGCCAGGGCCTGGGAGCCCCGTGACCCCGGTGACGGCCGGGGAGCATCTTGGTGTCCTCTCCCTGGTGACGGCCGAGGCCGCGTCCTGCTGTTCCCGGGGCGACCGCAGGGCCGTGTGCCACCCGGGCAGAGAGCAGATGGCCGGCCCCCTCCGCCCCGTGATCCCTACATAAGGCCTGGTTCCTGGGGAGTCTGTCCCGGGCTCAGGCGCCTGCCGAGCGGCGAGGGTCCCCAGCTGGCGCCCGCACGGGGCCGGCGCTCCCTGGAGCAACAACCAGGGGCTCAGACGGGACCATGGGCTCCGCGCTGGACCCCGCCTTCCGCCTCCTGCAGGAGCACGCGCACGGCTTCATGGTGTCCCAGGTAGGAGCCCGCGGGGCCACGGTGGGGTGGGGGGTGGGACCCGCTGCGCCTCCCGCATGGCCCAAGGAAGAGCCGGTCACCGCCCAGGGACCCGTGGGGACGTCCCATGGAGTTGCAGGAGGGTGGCCTTGAAGCTGAGGACCAGCCAGGCACGTGGCGCTCGCCTGTGGTCCCAGAGCTCGGGAGGCCGAGGCAGGAGGCCGAGGCAGGAGGCCGGCGAGGTCAGACCAGCCTGGGCCACAGCGAGGCCCTGTCTCTAAATAAAATGCAACACAGGGCTGGGGAGGGGGCTCAGGGTCGGGGGTCCCCGAGGTCCGTCCCCAGTGCCCCCAAATGAATGACAGCTCCCCGTCCCCCCGGCTCTCTGTGCTGTGGGGGCCACCGTGTCCAAGGCAAGGGCAGCTCCTCTCGAGCAGCCGGCTCTGGTCAGGGAAGGTTCTCGTCATCTGCTGTGGGCTCGGTGCCTGCCGCTGCAGGTGGAAGGGCGGCTGGTCCCGGGGTCAGCTCAGGGTCAGCTCAGGGACAGCTCAGGGACAGCTCAGGCGGAGCTTGTCCTCCACCCACGGTCACGGCGGTCCTGGTCCCCTGCCCGGTCAGACCCTAGGGCTCTGCAGCGGTCACCTGAGAGCCGGGAGCCTCTGCCCACAGGGCGCCGTGACCTCCCTGTCTGTCTGTCCCTGGCCCCTCGCCCTCCTAGGGAGGACCCGGCAGCCGGGGCTGCTCCCTGCCCCTCTGCTCCCAGGTGGGTCCCGAGTCCCAGGAGAAGAATGTCGTCACCAGAGGGGACACCGTGTGACGTTAGTGAGCAGCCCCTCCCCAGGACGCCCAGGCCCCGAGAGGAGCCCAGTTAAGAGCCGTCCCCGCGCACAAGGTCCGCAGGGCAACGCAGGGCGGTAAGACGTCCCCACGGAGGACGTCAGCGACGCAGCCCCCTCCAGCAGGAGGTCATCAGCTCACGCCCAGGGTGACGGGGCAGCCCCCGTGACAGAGCCTTGGCCAGTGCAGGGTCCCCAGAGGAGAAGTCACCCCCCAGCAGGACCCAACAGAGAGGGGGCGCGCAGCTCGGGGGGGGGGGGACGCGGTCCGTCCCTGGGACAGAGGTCACGGCCCGTCCCGGGCAGCCAGTCAGTGAGACCCCAGAGGACAAGGGCCAGCCCACCTGGCGGCCAGGAGGGGGCCCAGTTGGCAGAACAGGGTCGATCCGGCTCCGCCCCGCGGTCTCAGCGCCCGCCCACCCCGAGCCGGATCCCACTGAGTAGGAGGTCGGGCCGCGTCCCCCAGCGCCCCTGGCGCACGCTCATCAGAGCAGGTGGCCGGAGCAGCTGACTGGGCCCCAGCCCCGCCGACCCGACCCTCTGACCGCCGGGAGGATCACGCGACCTCGACAGAACCAGCTGGACACGAGGCTCGCGGTCACTACAGCTGCCCCCCACAGGACGCCCCCAGGTCTCGGGCGTCCACAGGACGGCCTCCAGCCTCCTGAACAGGAGGAGGCCAGGGCAGCCTCGCAAAGCCAGCAGCTGGTGCCGCCCCCAGAGGACAGCAGGAGACCCCGGGGACACAGCAGGCCACCAGTGAGGGCCACCCGGAGGGGACTGCAGGGACGGGGAAGCTGTCAGGGCTGTGGGTCCATTACTGTCATCGTCATGAAAACACAGTGGGCAGGTTCACAATAGTGTCCTCGTCATGCTGCCCTCTGCTGGGCACAGGGGCGCACGCCGTGACCCAGCCGCCCTGCAGGCTGAGGCACAAGGACCGCAAGGTGGAGGCCAGCCTCAGCAACTCAGCAAGGCCCTGCCTCTAAGTAAGACCAGAGAGACCTGGGAGGTGGCTAACCACCCCTGGGCTGCGTCCCCACCCCCCAAAAGGAGGGAAGGAGGACATGACCTCGGTGTCACGGGCAGAGGGTCGGCCAGCGCAGGAGGGAGAGAGGGTTGACCCGAGTCGTGGGACGCGGCGGGTCCATGTGGCGCAGCGCCTCTCGACACCCTACGGACAGGCACCTGTGTCCTAGGGACCCACCTGCTCAGATGCTCCACAGAGGTGGCACTGTACCCTCCTGGTCTTGGGGACGTCTCTTTTTTCGTTTGACCTGTTTCCAAGGTTGAGATGTCGTAGCCTGAACGGGGGCTTCCTTCCTTTTTCATGGCTGAACACTATTCCACCGTGCAGATGGCCACATTTTGTCTGTTTTCATCCCTTGGTGGCCACTTGGGCTGCTCCTCCCTCTGGGCTCTGGGACCCAGGTGGCCACTCTCCTACGCAGACAGCCTTGGACCCCTGCTTCTCATTCTTTTGGAGTCATGCTCTGTCATATGACAATTCTACGTTGAATCTGAGAAGCGGCCACCTTGGCTGGGGTCACTGGGCTGGAACCCAGGGACGCCCTCCACTGAGCGCGCCCGCAGCCCTCTGTATTCATTAGTTCAGGGTCTGACTTCCGGAGGCTGGCCTCCAACTCGCCCTCCTCCTGTCCCGGCCTCCCGAGCCGCTCGAGGGACACCCACGTCCAGCTGCCCGCTTGGATTCAGGGAGTCTGTCATGGTGTCACAGTGCGTCCCGCCCGAGTGACAGAAATAAAACACAGTAACAAAGGAGTCAGACTTCTCCCTCCTCCGCAAGGCACCCCGGGCCGTGTCCACCGCCTGCCCAGCCCTGGCCACCCCCTGCGTCCACTCTTGGATGTCTCATCCCGATTCCGGGGGCCTCCTGGGCCGGCTCCTCCCCTCAGGATGACGTCAGCGGATGGCCCACAAGGTCACCCAGGACCCCGACCCGTGCCACCTCCTCTCAGAGCAGAGTCCAGTGGCAATAGTCCCCATCACCAAGGGAATCAGAATCGGGGCCTCGGGGACCCAGCGCTGTGGGTGACCCCCGGCCGGTCACCAGGACGCCCCCAGTCACCAGGTCGCCCTGGCCTTTCCGCAGGTTCTCTTCGCCGCCTGCGAGCTGGGCCTCTTCGACCTACTGGCCGAGGCCCCGGGGCCCCTGGACGTGGCGGCCATCTCCGAAGGCCTGGGCGCCAGCCCCCGGGGGACAGAGCTGCTGCTGGAAGCCTGTGTGCCCCTGCGGCTGCTGGACGTGGACACCCGCGGGGGGACGGGTGAGCTGCCGTCGTGGGGGAGGGCGAGAGGGCCAGCGGCCACGTTTGCCAGCGGGTCACCGTGGACAGCTGCTCCCCGCCCACCAGGGGCGCTGAAGGGCTTGCGGCTCTTCTCGGTTTGCCCTTGGGAGGCAGTGGGCCTTTAAGAGGTGGAGCCTAGCGGGAGGTGAGGTCACGGGGGGCGTGGCCTCCAGGGAAACACTGGGACCCCAGTCTCTTCCTCGGTCTCTGTCTGCCTGATTCCTGGCCACCTAGAGCAGAGCCGCTGTGGTCCACCACGTCCTCCTGCCATGAGGCCCTGCCTGGCCACAGACCCGATGGTCACCACAAGTGACCAAGAGCCAAAAAGTACAGTTTCGTGTTTTTTCAGTTGGTTTTCTATGGTTCTTGGTCACAGTGACGGGAACCGGGAAGGGGCAGGCCCGTGTCCCTCCGCTGAGGGGCACTGCGAATGCAGAACCAGGTCCCTGTGGTCCTCTGGGCGCTGACCCCGAGGTGTGTACCTCTGACCTGCGGCATCCACCACGTGTCCCCGTACTGCTCAGGGTCGGGCGACCCCCGGCCGCCCCACCCCCTGGACTTAGGGAGAGCCCGTGCCCTGTTCCAAGGGTCACTGGGGGGGGGCCCTGAGAGAACCCCGGGGGACAGGGCAGCCGCCCCTTCTTGGAGCCGGGACTCGCCCCTCGGGCCTACGTTATGGGAAGGGCGCAGAGCAGGTGGCGCTTGGTCCCTGCGCCCACTGCGCCCTCACCCAGAGGGACCCTGCGCCCACTGCGCCCTCCCCACGGGGACTCTGCGCGCACTGCGCCCTCCCCACGGGGACTCTGCGCGCACTGCGCCCTCCCCACGGGGACCCTGCGCGCTCTGCGCCCTCCCCACGGGGACCCTGCGCGCACTGCGCCCTCCCCACGGGGACTCTGCGCGCTCTGCGCCCTCCCCACGGGGACTCTGCGCGCACTGCGCCGTCACCCAGGGGGATCCTGCGCGCTCTGCGCCCTCACCCACGGGGACTCTGCGCGCTCTGCGCCATCTCTGCACCCTCACCCAGGGGGACCCTGCGCGCACTGCGCCCTCCCCGCGGGGACCCTGCGCGCAGTCCGCCCTGGCCGAGCGCACAGGAGTGAGGAGGCCCCGCAGGGCTGCCCGCTGCCCGCCGCCCCCTGCCCATCCGCGCCCGCTCCTCCCGGCCGCCCCACCCGCAGGGCTGCCCCGGGGCGTCGTGTGGAGGTCGCGTGCCCAGCGCTGGGGACGCCACGCCGCCGTGACGTCCACTGACGGGTCCCCGCCCTCCCCGCCTGTCCAGCCCGGTACGCGAACTCGGAGCTGGCCCGCGCCTACCTCACCAGCCGCAGCCCCACGGGCCAGCGCGCCATGCTGCGGTACCTGGGCAGCACCACCTACCGCTGCTGGGGTCACCTGGCCGACGCCGTGAGGTGCGCGGGCCTCAGCCGTCCCCGGGGTGGGGCCGGGGCTGGGGCGATGACCCCCGGGGAGGGGCAGGTGCTGGTGGCCAGCAGGGGAGCTGTCCACGCTGGGCCCGGGTGTGGTGGACCAGGGGCCCTGCAAGGGGGGGGGGGGCTGACCTGTGCCCAGATGCTGGGCCACCGGAGAGCTGCACCGGAGAAGCAGTGGTCAGCTCTGCAGGGGGACCGGCGTGGCCTCCCACAGGACAGTGTGTGCTGCACATGGGACACAGGGTGAGGGGACAGGGCATCTCTGGGTGCTGCCGCGGATGCTCACAATGTCGAGGGGTGATGACACCTTCCTGCTCCTCAGACAGGGCAGCAACCAGTACCAGAGGGCCTTCGGGGTCCCCGCGGGGGACCTGTTCTCGGCCATCTACAGGTGCGAGCCCCAGCCGACAGACGGTCCTTCCTTAGGTCCCCTGCACCTGGAGGGACGACGCACAGGGGCCCCCGAGGTGTCATGTCATGTCAACACGCCCTCCCACTGCCCTGTCCCCGTCCCCGACCCCGAGGGCACAGATCTGGTCCTGAGAGGGGCCGTCTGCCCTGCGTCCAGGCTCAGGCGCCCAAGCCCAGCAGAAAGTGGACGTGGGGTCCCAGGTCCCCAGAGCCGCCCGTCCCCGCCCCGACTTGGCTCACACTGGGACGGGGACCAGCCGCTGGGGAAGCTCTGGTGTCCAGGCGTGGTACAGTGGCCCTTCGAGGGACACCTCCCCTGGGGTCAGACTGTAGGACAGTGGCCCTTCGATGGCCGTGTGCCCGGCTTCTCTTCCCGTCCCTCCCTCCCTCCGTTCTGTCCCCTCCCTCTGGGAAGCAAAGCCACCGAGAGGCCTCTGCACAGCCCCAGGGACCCCAGAGCTCTGGGCAGGACCCCGTCCGTCCTCCCTCTGGGCCCCGGGGGGGCGGGTAGGCGCTGCCCTCACCTCCCCTGAGGGACCCTGGGGACCCCTCTTCCAACAGGAAAAGGCCCCGTGGCAGGTCCTGCAGGGGACCGTAGCGGGCGCCGAGGCCCCTCCACCTGGTGGCCGCACTAGTGCTGCCCGCGTCCAGTCCTGGGGCCTGGCTGCCGCGTCACCCTGCGAGGTGTAGGTGCGGACCCTCTGTCTGAGCCTGACCAGCGCCGTCCCGCACCCAGGTCCCCGGCCGAGCGGCTGCAGTTCACGCGAGGCCTGCAGGAGATCTGGAGCGTCGACGGGCGGCGGGTGCTGACCGCCTTCGACCTGTCCCCGTTCCATCGCATCTGCGACCTCGGGGGTGAGTGTCCTCGGACGCGGGCGCTGTCCTTCCTGCTGTGTTCGGGGAGAGTATCCACCACGGATTTCAGGGGACGCTCTGATGCCTGGGGTCTTGCAGAGGAAGAGGAAGAGACTGGGGTCCCAGTGACCTGAGGGGCTGCCAACCCCCGGACTGGTCAGTTCCTACAAGTAGGGAGTGAAGCTCCTTCAGGTAGCTTGGGTGTCACTGTGCCCAAAAGACCCAACAAGAACAATCAGAGGCACAAGAGTCTCTCTGGGGCTCCTGGTGTCCGAGGTCCAGTCCCTGGTGGCCGACTCCATGGCTCTGGCCCAAGGGGAGACAGAACAAGATGGCGGCAGGGCCTGGAGGAGGAGAGCAGCTCAGGACAGGGCACCAGGGAGCAGAGAGAGCTCTGCTCACCAGGGACAGGACAGAGACCCCAAAGGCACAGCCCAGGGACCCCCTCCTCCAGTCACCCCCCACCTGCTGCAGCCACCACCCAGTGAGTCCATCCAAGTGGATTAATCCACTATGAGTCTACACCTCTCACAACCCAGCCGTCTCCCCTCTGGACCATCTTGCATGGTCTCCCGTGAGCTTTAGGGGACCCCGATGTCTGCACCGTAACACTGACCTGACCGTCCTGTGAAGGCCAGTCCCTCCTGGGCACACACCCAGCCTCCTCTTATAGGTCGACACCCTCCAAGCCAGTGTCCACTCCCTCCGCTGCCCAGGGTCACGGACTAAACAACTAGGGACGTTCTCCGCCACACTGTCACTCAGACTCTCCCAACTAGCCAGTCCCCGCCTGCCCACCAGGGTCAGCGGTGGACGGTGGGCCACCCAGTGCCTCCCCATGTGGCCCTGTGACACTCAGCTTCTGGCCACTGCAACGCAGGCCGGAGACATCCGACTGGTCAAGAGAAAAGTCAACTCTGGGTCCCCGTCTTGGAGGCTAGGGCCTTGGGGCAGCCGCACATGACGGCGGGCGCCTGTGGCAGAGGAGAAAGAGAAGAGGACGAGTCTGGGGTCCCAGTGACCCTGCAGCACACTGGTCCCGTGACCTCAGGTCCCCACTAGGTGCGGCCACCTCCCGACAGCTCCAGGCTGGGGACCCAGCCTCTGACCGTGGCCTGCGGGGACAGTGGGGAAGCAGACTAGCCCCAGGGCCTGCCAGGCTCCCTCATCTGGGGAACCCGCACCGCAAACCCGCTGGCCGCCGGCTGCCCATCCGTGGCCGCAGGGAGCCGGAGTTCTCCCTGGACCTCCGCGTTCGGAGCAGGGAGCCTCGGGCCTTCAGGGAACGCGGACATAGAACACGGCGAGCTCCTCGGGGCTCAGGGGAGGCTCCCCGCAGGACACTCTCGTCCCCTGGGGACGGCCATGGGCAGGAAGACCACGCCCCAGATGGACAGTGCCTCCCTTCCCTGCCTGTCGGAGCCTCGGGCCCTTGCTCTGAGAGCGCCAGTCAGACTGAACGGAAGACCCACTGGGGACAGTGCGCAGCCTGTGCACCATCCTGGGGACCACCCCGTGCACCATCCCGGCCTCCACACCCCGTGCGCCATCTTGGTTTTTACATCCCACGCACCATCTTGGCCTCCACACCCCGAGTGGCCTCCACACCCTGTGCACCATTGTGGCCTCCACACCCCGTGCGCCATCTTGGTTTTTACATCCCACGCACCATCTTGGCCTCCACACCCCATGCGCCATCTTGGTTTTTACATCCCATGCACCATCTTGGCCTCCACACCCCGTGCGCCATCTTGGTTTTTACATCCCATGCACCATCTTGGCCTCCACACCCCGAGTGGCCTCCACACCCTGTGCACCATCGTGGCCTCCACACCCCGTGCGCCATCTTGGCCTCCACACCCTGTGCACCATCTTGGCCTCCACACCCCGTGCGCCATCTTGATTTCCACCAGGACCCTCTGGCCGTGCTAATGGAGGGTGCCCAGGTGGATCTGTGGTTCTCAATGGCCCTTGGAGACTCGGGCCGTGGGCCACCCTGGGGCCACCCTGGGGCCACCCACAGGGTCCTGGGAATTGCTCTCCTCACAAGCTTTGGGGGTGCCGCTGGTCCATGGGCCTCCCGGGGACAGACGTGGTGTCCCTCAGCCCGAGCGTGGATGCTCCGTCCACCACGTCACTCTCGTTCCCTCCAAGAGGCTAGAGGGGACCCTCCCTTGGGGCAGGTGTCCTAGGCCCCCAGTCAAGTCCTCCCGTGAGCCGTGACGCAGACGGAGCCCAGGCCCACTCTGTGGCGGGTCTTGGAGGGGGGTCGGGGCTGGGCACGGCCATCAGGTGAGGTCCCTGGGTGGCATCCTGGAGGCTCTACGAGGAGGACAGAGGCCAGAACACGCCCTTGCCACGTCCCTCGCTGGACACCACCAAGAAGAGCGCCACCAGCTGTAGCCGCTGACCACCAGAACCCAGGGCTCGAGAGCCACCCCTCCCCTGGCCTGGGCCCGAGCCTGTCCTCCCGGAGGGCAGGAGGCCGGGGCAGGAGGATCGCGGGTTCAAAGCTCATCACTCAGCGAGGCCCAAGCCACTCAGGGAGGCCCTGGTTCAGCATAAAAACAACAAAACAAAACAAAACCTTTTTTTCCTATTCTTTACACGCGCCCTGCCTCAGGCACTCTGTGACAGTGACAGATGGCCCGGTCCAGCCCAGATCCAAGGGCCACACGCAGGGCCCGTTCCACAGGCTGAGGAAGGTCCCCGAGAGACACGGGAACCGAGGCCCGAGCATCCCGTCCTCACCGTCCCCGGGCATCAGAGCCACCGCTGGGACACCTGGCTCTGCGCCAAGAAAGGGTCCCCAAGCGGCTGTGCCTGTTGCTCAGTGCGTGACGCTGGGTGCGCTCCATGGTCCTCAGCTCCCTGGGCCCATCTTTGTCTGTGTGTCCGTGGGTCAGGGACAGTAGCTGCTGCACAGGACACCGTCCCCGGTGGCCACCGGTGTCAGAGCACAGCAGCCGCCGTCCATCCCTGGCTGGGCAGCAGCGCTGGCCCAGGGGACACAGTTAAGTCAAAGGCTGTGCCGAAGGTCGAGGCCTGGCGTCCCAGCCGAGAGGGCCACCTGCACCGGGGGCTCGTGGGTGGGGAGCACCGTGTCCAGCCTGGACCTGGGGTGGCCACACTGGGTGATCCGCGGCCCCTGGACGCTGTCCCCCTGACGCCTGTGGTCACTTCCAGGTGGGGCCGGGGCTCTGGCCCAGGAGTGCGCCTGTGTGTACCCCGGGTGCCACGTCACCGTGCTCGAGGTCCCCGAGGTGGTCCAGACGGCGAGGGCCCACCTCCCGCTGCAGACGGAAGGGCAGGTTGGCTTCCGTGAAGGTAGGTGTCGCGGGACACGGTCCTGGGGACGCCCGGGGGGCCCACGTGACCTGGCGCACGGACCCTCCAGGTCCCCTCATCCCGTGTCATCGGAAGTCCCCAAGCCCCACGTTTCGGTGACTGTCCCGAGCAGCGTCCGTCCCACCTCCTCTGCGCCCGGGACCTAGGCAGCGCCAACCGCTGTCCCCGAGGGTCACGCTCTCCTGCCGCGTCCTAAGGGTCAGCCGAGGACAGAGAGGAAAACCCGAGTCTTCCGGACAGCTCACGTCCACTCGTGCAGGGCGTGGCCATCGGGCGTCCAGCCTGTGGGCTCTTCCCAAGGAGACGGTCACTGGGGGCGACGGTGGCAGGCGGCGTCCACTCTGCACGGAGGGTGCCCTCCAGGCCTGGGGGGGGGCTGTCAATCGTCTGTGCCCCGGGGGACGCTGTTAATGTCCAGGGTGGCCCCGGGTCCCCAGGGAGGGACCACACAGACCCCGGACGTCCTCGGCTGGGCCTCCAGGAAGCCGGCCAAGGCCCGCGCTCTGGCTCGGGTGCAGGGCGCAGCCAGCCCAGGGTCAGGGCTGGACACAGGTGGCCGCTCCGAGGTGTCCTCCCGAGATGGCGCCTGTGGATTTGTCAGGAAAAAGTAAGATTTTGAGAGTCGAGTGCTGGACGCCGTACAGGCTGCGAGCTGTCCCTGGGCGTCCCTTGGTCAGCTCGGAGAGGCCCTGACGGGCAGCAGGCTCAGGCCAGCTTCTCAGTGGCAGCCGCTGGGGCCGCGTCTGGGGCTCTGTGGCCATCGCCTGTGTCCCCGGTTGCACCGGGAGACGGTCACCGGGCTGCCCAGGGTCCGCCTCTGCAGGACTGGACCTGCTGGTCACTGTGAACGCCGGCTGGACGGGACCCTCCTGTGTGTTGCAGGGGACTTCTTTGAAGACCCCCTTCCCGAGGCCGACCTCTACATCCTGGCCAGGGTCCTGCACGACTGGTCAGACGAGAAGTGCTCCCGGCTGCTGGCCAGGGTCCACCACGCCTGCAGGCCCGGTAGGGGACACGGCGGGGCGCGGGGCCTCCTGTGACGGGGGTGGGGGACGTCCCGCAGGCTGTCCTCCCAGAGGAGTGGTCACGGCCAGACTGGCCTCGAGGGCCATCGGACACTAGAGCCACCTAATCAGGGAGAAGGCGGGGACTCCTCATGGGCCAGAGTCCGTCACGTGTCAGCGGACTCCTCCATGTGACGGGGACAGTGCCCAGCTGTCCTCTGAGGTCACCGTCCTGGTGACCCTTGGGATCTGAGCACAGCCTCTGGGCCCTGGGGACAGTGCCCAGCTGTTCCCTAAGGCCACCCATCCTGGTGACCCCTGGGTCCTGGACACAGTCTCTGGGTGTCCTGGGGACAGTGCCCAGCTGTCCCCTGAGGTCACCGTCCTGGTGGCCCTGGGCCCTGGGCACGTTCTCTGTGTCATGGGGACAGTGCCCAGTTGTCCCCTGAGGTCACCGTCCTGGTGGCCCTTGGGTCCTGGGCACGTTCTCTGTGTCCTGGGGACAGTGCCCAGCTGTCCCCTGAGGTCACCCGTCCTGGTGGCCCTCGGGTCCTGGGCACGTTCTCTGTGTCCTGGGGACAGTGCCCAGTTGTCCCCTGAGGTCACCGTCCTGGTGGCCCTCGGGTCCTGGGCACGTTCTCTGTGTCCTGGGGACAGTGCCCAGCTGTCCCCTGAGGTCACCCATCCTGGTGGCCCCGGGCCCTGGGCACGTTCTCTGTGTCCTGGGGACAGTGCCCAGTTGTCCCCTGAGGTCACCGTCCTGGTGGCCCTCGGGTCCTGGGCACGTTCTCTGTGTCCTGGGGACAGTGCCCAGCTGTTCCCTAAGGCCACCCATCCTGGTGGCCATTGGGTCCTGGACACAGTCTCTGGGTGTCCTGGGGACAGTGCCCAGTTGTCCCCTGAGGTCACCGTCCTGGTGGCCATTGGGTCCTGGAGACAGTCTCTGGGTGTCCTGGGGACAGTGCCCAGCTGTCTCCTGAGGTCACCCGTCCTGGTGGCCCCGGGCCCTGGGCACGTTCTCTGTGTCATGGGGACAGTGCCCAGTTGTCCCCTGAGGTCACCCGTCCTGGTGGCCCCGGGCCCTGGGCACGTTCTCTGTGTCCTGGGGACAGTGCCCAGCTGTCCCCTGAGGTCACCGTCCTGGTGGCCCCGGGCCCTGGGCACGTTCCTGGGCCCGGGGACAGTGGCTTGTCCCCCAGGTGGCGGCGTCCTGGTGGTGGAGCGCGTGCTGGACGCGGACGGCCGGGGCCCGCTGGCCACGCTGCTGGGCTCGCTCAACATGCTGCTGCAGGCCGAGGGCCGCGAGAGGACGGCCGCCCAGTTCCGCGCGCTGCTGGCGGCCGCCGGCTTCGGGGGCTTCGCGCTGCGCAGGACGGGCGGCGTCCACGATGCCATCTTGGCCACCAAGGCGCTGCCCTGAGCCGGCCACCCTGGGGCCCGAGGACAATAAAGAGACATGTGTCCCTCCCTGGTCTCTGCTCGTGTGACGGGGGGGGGGGACGGCCACCGTCATGGCTGCGTCTCTTCCTTACACAGGGCGACGTCCCCGGGCGGGAGCCCAGCTCGGCCGTGACCGTGGGCAGGTCCCCTGTCTTCCGCGGTCCCCGGTGGGGCGCAGTGTCCTGCTCATGTCCTGACAGAGCTGACAGCCCAGCAGGGGACACACCGGGGACAGGGCCTCTCTGCCTCTGTCCTCCGCACGTCGCCTCACGTACCCCCACGGGGACACCCGGGCAGCTCAGCTCCTGTGGATACAGGGACACGGGCAGAAGACCCAGAGGAGGGGACAGTGACGTCCCTGCCGATTCCTCACCCACTTCCCCTGGGGGCTCCTCCAGCCTGGTTCTGGGGACGGGGACGGGGCTTCTGGTCACACAGGTGTCCTTATGGGAAGAAGAGAGCCACAAGACAGAGGGGAAGCGTGTGGCAACAGACAGGGTGACGCCAGGGGACACCCTGCAGCACTGAGGCCAGCCAGGGGCCGCCCTGCAGGTGGGGCCCAGAGAGGGTGCTCGGTCTCCTCAGGCGCACAGCACAGAGAACCACCCAGCCGGGAAGGTCCATGCGGTCACTCTGGGAAACCTGTGGGTCACTGTGACCGCGCGGAAGCGACCCTGGTAGACGGTCCTAGAGTGGCTCCGAGGACCGTGTCACCGTCTCCCGGGGATGACCTGGTGTCACAGGGACCTTCTTGCAAAAGGGAGAGCGAGATTCTGGGCGACATCCCGGGACCCGGGGCGGAGCCGTCTCGGCATCTGCCGGCAGGTGGCGCCGTCGGCGGCTGAGGGACAGGCTGGCGGGCTCGGGCCCAGGCAGTCCATCAAGCCGGCGGGGGGCGGGGCTGGGGACCCGGGGACAGAGGAGCGTCCTGTGTGTCCCCTGGCTGCCTTCCGCACTGGGTCTCACGACACCGTTTCTACGTCTCTTCGTCGTTTCCCTCCAAATGGCGAAGCCGACTAAATCCGCGGCTGCGGGTTCCTTAGGGAGACTCCCCGGGGACAGGGCGACCTCAAGCCAGGCGACCCCGGAGCTCGGTGGCCCACCCCTCTTCCTCGTCCCCAGGTCCCCAGGGTAGGGGTCTTCGTCAGCGGCCCTGGGTGGGGGACACGGGGACCTGGTTCCTGGGGTTGCTCCTTGACCTGTGGCCATCAGGGGACAGAGGTGCTCACAGCTGCCCCAGAGTGGGGACCCCCCCCCCCAGCACGATTGCTGCAAACCTGTTGGACGTCAGAGCTGTCACTCAGGGTGACAGGCAGGAGCTTATTGAAGGAAAGGGATAGGGGACACTCTCAAGGGACAGAGGGGTCCTCTCAGACAGGACAGGGACAGCGTGCCCCTCCTGCCCTCCAGTTCTATTGGGGTCCCTGGGAAGTCTCCAGAGATCCCCGCCCAGGTCCCCTCCTGACTGTGACGGACAGCAGGGTGACATCACACTCTCCAGTCCCCACGGCCATGGCCACTCTGGGTCCCCCTGGCCCCTGTTGCCTGGTTCTCAGTGGAACCTGTTCTTGCAGATTTCAGGGTTGGAGGAAGGGTCCCCGTCCCCCTGGGTCCCGGGACCTGGTCTGTGTCAGGGTCCCAGAAGTCCCCCCTTCAGGGTCACGTGGCTCCTCTCAGGGACATGCCTTCCCGCCTGCATGTCCCCTGCAGGTCACAGGTGGTGTGTGAGGAAGGTGGCGGAGCCTGTGCCTGGAGGCCAGGCCGGGCTGCAGGTGCAGGGCTTCTGGGAAGGAGGCTGTGGGGTCAGCACCGGGGGCCATTGATAGAACTGTCCCCTGGACCTCGTGTCCACCATCTGCACCCGTCTGTCCTCTGTCACTACTGCTGGTCAGAGGGAGAAGTTGATGATTGTTTATTTATTTATTTGGGGTACCAGGGATTGAACTCAGGGACACTCGACCCCTGAGCCCCATCCCCAGCCCTATTTTGCATTTTACTTAGGGACAGGGTCTCACAGAGTTGCTCAGGGCCTCGCTTTGGCTGAGGCTGGCTCTGAACTCGCCATCCTCCTGCCTCGGCCTCCTGAGCTGGTCGACAGGTGGCCAATGTCGGTTTGTCTTGGAGACATAAACGGAGCAGGCCCTGCCGGTCCTTGCGGGGCACAGAGTCCCCGAGGAGGGACGCAGGAGAGTCTGCAGCCTCCCTCGCAGTCCGGCTTCCTGTACTTAAATCACTTAATCCACAAAGTCCAAGGTCAGAAATGCCGCACCTTCCAATTCCCAGCTTTTCCAGAATCCACCGACCCTGGTCAGCAACGTCCGTAACCTGGGGCTTTCCCGTGTACAGTGGCGCTCAGACATTGCAGGCAGCCCAGGAGGAAGCTGGTCCTGGGGAGGGCGTTGGGTCCGTGGCCCCTGCTGCCCCCTAGTGGGTGGCCATTAGCCACTGCCCCTGGGGTCAGAGCTGCTTCTCGGGTCACAGGAGGCTGGCCAGCCTGAGGGCAGTCTCCTGCCTCTAGGTGTGGGTGGCCGGCCCTGCAGGGCGCCCAGAGGGGGGACCCTGCTCTGCACTGACCTGGGGGCTTTCCAAAGCCCCTAGGAGAGGCTGAGGTCCCCCACGGTCCATCTCCGAAGGGCTGCGAATGCTGCCTCCGGGGTCCTCGAGCACCGGGCCCCAGGGGACCGCGTCCTCTGCCCACATCTGGGACCCGTCAGCAAACACGGTTTGGGCAGAAGTCGTCCCTGAAATAGTCGGTTGCTGAGCAAAGAGTCGCCGAGAAGTTGCATTTTTAGGAAGCGGAGAGGGAGGAGGCTCGGAGCGCAGGGCGCTGGCCCCGGGATGCCGGATCCGTGGGCCAGGCCGGGGCTGCAGGACACAGCGTCCAGCTCAGGAAGTCCGCAGGGCGTTGCTGGCTGCCAGGGACCAGGCGGGGGACAGGGAGGGGCTCGGGATGTCCTTTGGGTTTGGGGGTGGGTGACAACGCTCTGGGGTCCGCAGAACGACCCTTGCCCACAGCTCTGCAGGCCGGTGCGACTTAGACGGTGACTTCCGTGCTGCTCCGTCCCTCTAGGACCCCTGCGCCCTTGGCTGGACGCTCCGTCCCCCCTGGAGCCCCCCACTCCTCTCTCCCAGGTCTCTGTCCCACGGGCTGCAGCCACCTGTCGCCTGCCTTGCTCAGCCCCTGTGGGCACCTTAGGTCGTCCCCTCTGGCCACCGAGCCGGGCGGTGCGTCCCCACGGGGAGCCACCTGGTGCCTCTGGGGCATCTGCCAGCTGTCGGGAGGGAAGGTCAGGCCGAGCCGCAGACGGCGCCTGGACAGACAGGTCCTCGGGACACATGCCATGGGAGCTCGTGCTGGCCGGCCAGAGGCAGCAAGGCTGTCCAGACCCGATCCCGGGCGGGGGCCAGCTCCCTGGACAGCACATTGTCCTGCCGTCGGTCCAGGGCCTCCCCCGCAGGCTGGTGTGCACCTTTAACCCGCAGGAACCGGGCTCCCAGAAACCGGAGATGGGCGTGGGGCGGAGCCTGGGGCGTGGGGCGGAGCCTGGGACGTGGGGCGGGGCCTGGGGTGAGGGGAGGGGCCTGGGCCGTGGGGCGGAGCCTGTGGGCATGAGGCGGAGCCTAGGGTGGGGGACAGAGCCTAGGACGCAGGGCGGAGCCTGGGGCGTGGGGCGGAGCCTAGGGTGGGGGGACAGAGCTTAGGACGCAGGGCGGAGCCTGGGGAGTGGGGCGGAGCCTGGGGCGTGGGGCGGAGCCTGGGACGTGGGGCGGGGCCTGGGGTGAGGGGAGGGGCCTGGGACGTAGGGTGGAGCCTGTGGGCGTGAGGCGGAGCCTAGGGTGGGGGACAGAGCCTAGGACGCAGGGCGGAGCCTGGGGCGTGGGGCGGAGCCTAGGGTGGGGGGACAGAGCTTAGGATGCAGGGCGGAGCCTGGGGAGTGGGGAGGAGCCTGGGGCGTGGGCGGAGTCTGGGGCTTGGGGGCGGGGCCAGGGGTGGGGGCGGGGCCACCTCTCAGCAGCGGCCAACCCCTGGCTGCAGGTCCTGGGCTCAGGAAGCCTCCATTTCCTGGAGACGGTTGCGGTTTCTCAACGGGGGAGGTGTGTGTGTGTTTGGGGGGGTCCTGCGTGTGTGCACGCTCATGTGCCAGCATCTGCCTGTGGGCGTGCAGCGTGCGTCGGAGGTGTGTATTTTCTGTGCTTGTGAGTTCGTTTCTGCACGGCCGTGTACATGTGCACGTGGCAGGGTGTGCGTTGGCACGCGCTCACGTGTGTGTGCATGCTCGCGGGCGTTGGCGTAGGTGTGGCCACGTGCACACGTTTGTGGGTTTGCAGGACTCTTGTGCACGCGAGGGTTTTTTTTTGCATTTGTGCAGATCTGTGTGTTTCCCTGTGCATGGGCCTGTGTGTGCGTGTGTGTCCGTTTGCCCTTGTGTGTACGTGTATGCTTGTGTGCATCATTGTGCGTACGAGTGCACTTCTGCACGCACTGCACATGAGTTTGCGTGTGGGTGTGTATGAGTGTGTGTGTGTATCTGCATGCGTCTGTGCTTTTTCCTGAGGTGCTGGGGGTCAAAGGCGGATGCCTCGAGCTTCGTCCCAGGCCCCCTCCGTTCCGTTTCTGCATCTGCGGAGAAACCACCAAGAGAAGCGGGTTGACCGGTTCCCAGGGGCAGCGTTTCCAACTTGCATTAAAATTCATTCTGTGCACATTCTCACCGAGGCCACGGAGGCAGCCACTGGAGACCCGGGGTGGAGGCTCATAGGCTCGGGCAGCCCTGGACCTTGCTTTGCATTTCTTCTGCAGAGCCTTTGGGCGTTGGGAGGTGGTGTCCAGGGGAGAGGCCATCGGTCACACAGTGCCCAGCGCTGTGTCTGCAGGTTTCACCCCGTCCAGCGTCGGATTTTTCTTTCTTGCTTTTATCCAAACGGATCTGCAGCCTTCTTGGTCCAAGGCCTCCTGAGAGGCTGAGGCTGTCCAGTGGGTCCTCCTCCCAGCCGCCTGCAGACTGGCCTCGGCCTGCCACCC